TGTTCCTGGAAGGAAGAGTGCTTGTTTTACAATTTTCATAAGGAATATTATTCTGTTTAAAATGAAGGAATAACTCCGTGCATTTTTTTGTCTATTTCCACATTGGCAGACAACCAACATTTCATTTTTTCTTCAGTAACGTATCTGTTTACCAATGACACCTCATCAAAAAGATCATTTTCGCAAATATTATTTTTCGGAAAATTGTTACTAATCTATTAAAAAGATTTTTCCACGTATTCTCATAAAATCTCCTTTTTTAAAGTCACCTAACGAAAGTTTTTAATATCCTCGAATTGAACTGTCCATTCTGCAAGATATTCCAAGCAATTATTATAAAAATTTCTGATATCTTTCAGAAAATCTGGTTGTTTAATGGCACCTTGTTCTTCCAACCTAGTGATGTCCTTTCAAATAACTAAAGGAATGTAATTGTTATAAATTTTTTCTCGCAATTTTGTTTTTAAATTGTTGATTTCATTTGACACTTCTGTAACTGAAATTTTGTACCCTTCAATAATTTTCACAGCATTGTGAAATAATGTAGCTTGGTTGTGGATGACCTGAAGCCAAATTTGTGATGTGTCATTTTCAAAAAAGAGCTGCAGTATTCTTGGATATTTATCTTGTGATAAAAAGTATGATTTTAATGGTTCATATATTTTGAAAATATTTTCAAATAAAAGAAAAAGAGTAAAGATAAAAGAGCTAACCATTGTGTTTTGCTGTAACCAATAGTTCTTTTATATTCGATTTCTGTGCTTTCACAAAAATCCTTCAAACTTTCAACATGCACATATATAAAAATACGGATAAATCTTTGCAATAATATTTTCAACATCCACTGGAAGTAAGTCAGATGCTGTTTGAATAGTATTGTGTAGAATGTGCGCTGCACAACCTACTCGAATACATTTTTGGTTCAAATGTTCGTTAAGTTTCCTAAAAACATTATTAATGCCTTTTCTAGCTTTTACAACAAAATTTGCATTAGTGTTATCCTCACAAATAGTCAATAATTTTATTGTTCAAATTATTCTTTTTTAAAATAGTACTTATTGAATCAAATATTATTTGTGAAGTTTCACTCGGCAAATTTTAATTCCTGTTTTTGGATAAAAAATCGAACAATTCTAGGAAATAATTTTAAATCTTTCTGGTTGGATGCATCATAATATATGGATATAAATGTGTATTTATCTAATTCTTTCTGTAATTGTGGAAACGAATATGGTGAAAAAAACATTAAAAATAATAGCTTCGGTTTTTGTCCTTGCACATGCAAAATTTTTGTCGTGCAATATTTTGATCATTTGCGACGTACAATCAATTGATCTGAAACTTTGATTGTGATTTATGGTGTGGAAAGCAAATAGCCCTTCAGCAAATGCTAGCTGTTCCTCCGTTGAAAATACATATTCCTTGACGAGACATAACGACAATGATCGAACACCACTGAGTAAATCTAACTAATTACATCGTCTAATTTAGTTTACTCTGCTTGCATTTTATGTGTATTTTTATTTCTTTATATTTACTATAATAATTAATAAATAATAGGTGATATATTTTTACAGTACATTTAATAAGAAATGCAGATGTTTTTTAAAAAGCGGGACATTTAAAAAAATCGGCAGGACAGTCTTCCAAAAGCAGGACTGTCCCACCAAAATCGGGACGTGTGGTCATTTTAAACTAGTAGGAAGTTTGCCCTCGTAGTATTTTACACAGAGCTTCTGGTAAAATCATAAGGCATAACAATTTTATCAATTTCAGAAAGTCAGAGTGCTAAATTGAATACTCATTGTTTATTGAATAAAGAAGCATCAGTTACTTAAGAACTCCACAGGAATGTCTGGGGCAGCTTTGAAAGAATCTATGTCAGCTTTAATGGCTTGATGAACTGTTAAGCTAGCTAACTTTCACTGTCGACCGGATAATAGACAAGTCGTAATATTTCTTTTAATTTGTTCATCATTTGTTGTTTATCCTAGCAGTTTTCTAGTAATAAATAGGATGTAGTGATTTCAGTTTCAGGAATGCGAGGTAATGTGTCAGCACCAATATCATCAGTTCCTTTTATGTATTCTACATCAATTGTGAATTTTAAAAATGTCTAGTTGACAATTTTGACTTAGGGAGCATTTTTCAGGTTTCTTATAAGAGCAAATATTAGTGATTTGGGATTGGTGAATGCTGCAAATTTGTGTTCCTCTAATGCACCTAAATTTCTGATTGGAAATGTAGATTGTTAATAATTCCCTATCATATATACGGTATTTTGCATCAGTAGTTGTGAGCTTTCTAGGAAAAAAATAGCTAGAAGTTTGAATCCGTTGTTAATAGCTAGATTTAGAGATTTACCAATAGCATACTTAGAAGCAGATTGACTTGAAGAATAAGGGATGCATTTGGCAAATGATGTGTTAATAGTATACCATTTGCTAATTGTTGGTTAACATTTTCGAAAGCTCCACTTATTTGAACAAACACTCCTGAGATATGTAATACTTTCATCATTCTTAATCTAATATCAGTAACATAATCTTCAATCTTGTCATATTTGCCTCTATTCTACTAATGTGTAGTTGCATATTGTGATATATGTAAAATACTTACTTGTAATTATTGAATAACATGTTGCAGTATATGAAACCTGCATATGAATTTGTTCAAAATGGATGCCCCTCTCTCTGTACTTATAGTACTACTTGATTGTGTTCAATATTCAGTGAAATTGCATTTAAATTAAGATGATCACAGACATTTGTCATCATCATTTTCATCACTAATACCATCTGAATTTTTCAATTACACACATGCACACACTCATGTATTTTGACATTGCATTAACTAACCAAGCCATGGATGCCGAATAAAATAAAAGTTCTCGTTTTCTTTTTCTCTTTAGTTTTTAAATTTTCACATTATATATTGGGAACTCTGATTATCCAAATCCCTAACAAAAGTCCTGAACACATTGGCAATTTTGGAGAGCATTTATGAACTTGTTGGTGATTGGAGAAGAATGTTTATTTGAGTATCTTTTATGTCTCTATCAACAATTCAATCATTGCTGCTTATTTTTTTTTACATTTTTTCATATATAATTCATGTGCTTATTGTCCCCCCCCACACACTGTTGTTCTCTCCATATTCCCCCATTTGCTCTGTTCTTTATTCTGTTGTTTTCCATGTATACAGTGATCTGAGTTTTTTCTTTTAAAAAACATTCAGAGAATTGCACAGATTCAGCATTATCGGCATTACCTTGAAGCTAAAGGCCTAAAATGAAAAGGAAAAAAGAGGTGCGTGATGCCTTAACCTGGGAGGACGCGCTGTATTATGTAACACGAGAACACACATGGGGTGTCAAAACACCTTAAGCAATTAAATGACGTACAAATTAAACATATTATTACAATTCAGTAAAAGAAGGCATTCTCTATTAATTGCAACATTTATTATATAAAATAATGCTAATTTTAAAATTAATAACAAATAGATATTTTTTTCAGGCGTCTAGGATTCATTGATTTCTATGAGACATGTTTGTTTTTTATTTGTGAATGCACTTATAATCCAAATTATGCAGAATTATTACAAGAACAACGAGTTATATAATTAATATTGAAATCAATTACGCCCAGGAAGCATTAGATATCTTGTAATATACACATGAAGCATCTATTTTACAGTGCTCTTGACATATGTTTTTTACACTTCACATGTACAGTTGATTTTCTGTCTTTTTTCCTTCAGCACATGTAACATCTCCTATATTATATTTTCTTTTTTTTATGGTTCATCAAATCATTTTCTGTAAGAAATTGACCAATTCTTAACTGGTATACCAATTGTGTTCATCTGGCTGCTGACATGAAAAGCGTAGAAAATTCTAGAATCAACCACAGCAAATATCTTTATACCATATCTTGCAGGTTTCTTAGGTATATACTGCCGAAAGGAGCATCGTCCTCGAAAAGGTTCTAGCTTTTCGTTCAAAATCACGTATTCCCCTACATGATATAACTTCTGTCAATTCTTGACAAAATTTTCATATAAATCTCTTATTGGAGCTAATTTTTATCCTTTCCTATAAAATAGTCAGTTTGAACACAAGGAATGTCTTCTGAAGAGTCACACTCTTCTTCTGATTCAGACTCATGATCACTAACTGTATCTTTATTATCTGAATCTTCTAATTCTTCTTTTATAGAATCTTCATCCGATGAAACACCCTCTAATAATTTTTTAAGTCTTTTAGTTTCTTGATCATATGTAAAATGAGGAAAAGACCGAACAGAGAGACTTGCACACGCCATGGCTCACACTGAAAAATAGTAACACGAAAGTGCGCGTGGGGTGTCGGCACATCCCCAAACTATTATTTTAACAACAATAAATGCTTGGAATTTGCCGTTTCCTCTTGAGACGTATAGAACATGACCTTGAAGGCAGCTACTGATGGACCTCAGCATTTAGGATTATAGGGGGAGATTGCCAGCGAATTTGTTTATGCGTGGGGTGCCGATACACCCACGCGCGTCTTCCCGGGTTAAGTGAGGCTCAGTATGCTCAATACATGCAGAAAATTAAGTCTGAGATTTCTTTGAAGAGGATAAAAACTGTAGTTTGTGGTCCCCCACTATGCTGAAATTCCCATAGGAGGGATCGTAATCTGCAATCATATTAATAAAAGTATCTGAAGTTAAAAGCCATCTAGGGGAAGGATGTATGCCTGGTTTGCCACATAAATACTTCTGGAAATATTGTGTTTTGACACATTAGTATGTTTTCGTGGCTTTTCGGTCATGGTGCAGAGAAAGTATCCCATTTTCCTTCTAAATTTTTTATTTATTCATATTGGCATAAAATTGAATTATGCGTATAACTGATTATTACTGACAGATTCTTACAAAATTTTATTTAATATTGAAAAAATATAACTTATAAAGTCTATAAGTTTCTTATTCATTTCTCTTTTTAAAAAAATATAGGAGACTTGTATATCATGGGCGTATAAATATGCAAACACGAGGATTGGTTGTTTTGTTACTTTCTAAAGCAGCCGGACATACAGCTACATGTTCTGATATAAGTTCTGCAGGCACATCTGGCGTAACATCTAGACAACAAACATTAGCTGAGATTACTGAAATGATTCACACAGCTCATCTTATACACAAGGGAATTTTAAATCTGTCATCCAGCAGGATTCCTGATGAAAGTACTCTGCAAGATCTGCAATTTGGGAATAAAATTTCTATACTGAGTGGAGATTATCTTTTGGCGAATGCTTGCAAGGGTTTAGCTAATCTGAGAAATTGTAAGGTAAGATAAAACTGTTTTTACTTGATTATTTGTAATGTAAATCATCATTGCACTAGTGATAATAGAAATTTTCATTAGATGTTTTTTTCTTTAGGTGCTCCTTTCTCTTTATTTGACAACTTTTTATGTCTCTCTATTGAAATCAGATTGATATTTGGAAGATGATAATTTATAACAAGGCTGATTTTAAAACTTATATCCAACTACCTAAAAATAAGCTCTGCATCAAAAAATATGATCAAATGATCTCCCTTTAGTATATTAACTATTAAGGCAAATTATCTCTAGCACTTGCTAAGCTTTATAAAAATAAAAAATTTTCATTTTTAATCACAAAATATGGCAACTTTTAAATAAAAGTAATTTCAGAAGGTTATTTTATATTAACCAGTTGCAGTGCCAGTGTGAAAGTTGTGTCTTTCTTAAATGCATGTCCTTATAATTGCATCATTTTTATTTGGCTTAGTTTTTCTTTATTTCACACTTTTTTAAATATGTAAAAAAGAGTATCTCTTCCCTCTTTACTGAAGACAATTTTTATTTTAGAAAAAGAAAATAAAAAGGAAATCTGAAAGGTTTCAGATTTTAAATTACGTCCAAAGGGACATTTTTTTAAACATTTTGTGTGTTACCTTTATTTATTAAATATCACATTCTTCGCACTTAAACCATAAAATTCAGTTCAAGAGCAATATCGCAAAATAATTTTAAATTGAGCATATCTTTAGAATTTTCGATGTGCAGTCTCACGCGCTGGAGATAAAAAATTTTTTTTCTGTACAACATTGCCTTCTCTCGCTTTGAAATTGTTTAGATTTTTAATAAAAAATTCGTTGAAGTGTTACAAAATATGAAATCGATAATAAAACAAATTTCAAATTCAAATTAGGGCTTCCACATGCCCATATTCTACGGAAGATTACGTTAGTCAAATTTTGATGGCTCTAAGTACTGTTGTTTTATCACACTGTTAGAAACATATATGCATTTATGCAGATTCTTCATTATATTATTTCTTCAGATATAATACAGGCCGGTAATATTTGGTGGCAATGATTTGAAAAGTGATACAGCCTTTTAAAGGTTTCAACACAAAATCGCAAAACGAAAACAATAATACTTCAGGGCAAATTGCCTCTTTGGACAAAAAAAAAAAAAAAAAAAAAAAAAGTACTACTTTAATGAGAACATTTATTTTTTATGTTATACCAACTGCAGTTTCATTTGATTTATATATTTATTTATTTTTGCCTTTAACATGGGAAAATCTTCTATAATGCTTTCAGACTTGACTTTCTGTAATTCTTCTGGCTCTAAACTTAATAGAACAATCTTGCAATTTATTTGGTCCACAGATGTTCTTTTGCTGGATGGATGTGCTGAATGATTTATTGTATCTGGTTGTGTAATTTGAAATTTTTGGTATTATTTGTTTTATAGTGCACATGCTGCGGAAATTGCTGCCATGTCATACTGCATTATGAAATTGAGAAGTCTTTCAGGGTTAGAAAGTTTTGAGTCAAAAGTAACATTTTACAATCTAAAATTTCTTCAAATTATAACCGTTTTACAAACTACAGCCTATTCATATCACAATTGTAGCTTTCAACTAATCTTATGCCCTTTCTTTTTTAAATCATTGTTATCAACATCATGACACAACACATTGAACCCAAATTTTGAAGCTGCAGCTTGCAATAAAGTTAAATGTTTATTTAAGTCCAAATTTTTGTGTTTTGCTTTTCAGCTCCATTTTCCATCTAGGTTTTTTCTTTTTATTTTTAGGAATATTTTTAAAGTACTCTAAAAAAGTGAACAGTGTTTATTTAATACTAAATGATTTTTTAATACAAAATAATTGACATCTTTTATTGTCCAAGTTCTCACTGTTAACTGAAGGATATTGAACTTGGTTGAAATATTTTTATGTTTCATTGGAAGATCCTAGAATAGTGGTTTTCAACTGCTTTTGTTCCATACACCCTTTCACAATTACTAGAAGATCATACCCTCTCCTCTTTTCTAAAATTTAAAATATATATATATATATATATATATATATATATATATATATATATATATATATCAGAGTGCTTAATTTTGTAAGGCAAAATGTAAGATGTAAAATTTTTACAGACTTTTCTTACTCCCTGAGTCTCAGTGATGTAAAAGATATATGCCAGATTTAAAGATTTGATAATATTTATAAATTGCATACTCTGATCAGTTTTGTAAAAGTAGGCCAAAAATACGATTTTTCAATTTAATTTTTATTAGGAAAACTAGAAATCACAAATTAAAAATAATATTAAAACTAGACACTTAAAATTAATAGGTAGTATGATAGGCAAAACGTGTTATATTAATCAATTTTAAATGACACAATCCCTTCATCTGTTTGCATAGCAAAAACTTGTTAAAGCTTTCAAAACTTTTTTCTTTTAAACTTTAAAAAAATTTAGAATTGTTTCTTGTGAAATTATTTACCTTTTACATCTTTCATGAGAGATTATTATTTTTACTAGATAGAAGAATATATAGTGAATTCTGTTAAGAGAATTTTCCTAGTTATATCATTCTTTCAGCTATGGTTTTTTTATTTAACCTGCTGTGAAAAGTTTTGTATGAATGATAAGAAACATATGTAAAAATTATTTTTATGCTTTTTACAAAAATTAGTTTAATTTTAATGTTTTCTTCTTATAACCCATACACTGAATGAGTTATCAGCTATCTAATTTTGTCAAATTAATAGTTAATAACTTATTTTATTTTGATATTTTTATCCTCTATTCTTTTTTCATTCTGTAGGTGGTTGATTTAATATCAAAAGCTATTGCTGATTTTATGCAAGCTGAATTCTTGGGAGAGCATGATAAACAAGGAAACCCACTTCCCATTAAAGATATGGATATTTCTACGTGGGAAGAAAAGAATTTTCTTTCTGCTGGTAGCTTGATAGCTAACAGTTGTAAATCTACTCTTGAACTTGCTGGGCATGATGAAGCAATGCAAGCTAAAGGATTTGAATTTGGAAAAAATGTTGCTCTAGCATGGCAGGTATGTTGACAGAGATTTTAAGAATGTTTAGTGTATGATTGTCTATGCATTCGCAAATATTTTGCAAACTGAACTGTTTTCATCATCTTATATTTGAACTTTATTAAAATTTTTATTTGAATTAGTTGATTCATATATTTTTGCAGCAATTAGATTTTAATTTTGAACTACTAATTGATTAGCAGTTTAAAACTGATTATTCCTTATTTAATTTTAGTTCTGAAGTGAAATCATGTATAAAGTGTTCCTATTACAGTAAAAGCTCAACTGGAAAGCTTCACAAATGCTGAATTCCAGATATGTGAAAATTTTGGATTGTTCAGCATATAAGAAATAGAATTCATATTAGAAAAGACAAATTAATGGGAAAAATTTCTGCTCTAAAATTATAAAAACAGTTATCATATGTTATCAACTGGAATATGAAAAGCCTGCATTTAAAATTAAGATTTTTTGGAAAAAATGAACATTTCAGTTATAAAAGCTGACATTTTGTAGGCCTCATTTGATTATGAAATCCTGCTGAACATTAAAGTTGAAGATGTTGCCAAACATTCTGGCCAAACAGTTTAAATGAAGATATCATCTTTTATTTAGTAAACAAAAAAGAGACACAAATTGTAGATATAGCATATAAAAAACTTTAATCACCTGTCATGATTTTTCACATTATATTGCAATTGCTTTATGCATTTTAAAAGTCGCATGTCATGGCTTTTTTTTTTTTTTTTAATGCCCAGATCGTGTAACTTTGAAAATGGTTCACTTCATGCAGTCCAAGCGTAAATCTTTTGTTCGAAATGTGAGGAAAAAATTATTCTTCTTTACAAAAATTGAACCAGCTTATCGTAAATTAAACCAACTTATGTTAAATTAAAATGAATTTCTTGTGATTTTGTTGTGACATCATGCTTAGCCATTATTGGTTCTAAGTTATATGCTTTGGCAACAATATGTACGTGTTAGCAGTATTACGAGCTCTATAAAGGCATTACAGATCTCACACATATTGATTTATTTTTTTCGCAAACTCTAAAATATTCTCATTAATTTGAACTTTCTAGTTAGTTGAATGCCAGATAGTTGAGTTTTTACTGTATATTAAATTAAAAACCTTTTAAGCCATGTAATCAGCTGAAGTAAAAAGTAAAAAAGAAAACAAAATCAAAAAAAGGGGGGAAGAAAGAAAGAAATTATGAACTTGAAATGTGCATGATAATTTTCATGTCAGAAGCTCCAATAATGCTATTTACACTCATGTCCATAAATTAAGGATGTTCGGAGTCGCGCGGAAATCGAACTCTAAAATAAATATATCACCTTTAAAATCACTACACACATCTTCAAGAGTCATATGCAAATTTTGGGAAGTAACCAGATGACACCGATGATACGTCACAATGACGAGAGTGTAAGAGAGTGATATATAAGGAATACAGGCAAAGAAGTAAAATTGTTCGCAGGCGCTTTATAAGCATTTCAATGCAATAACCGAATAGTTATGAGACAAAGGACGCATTTGGATGATTTTTTACGTGGTAGAATTATCGGCCGTCTGGAATGTGGGTGTACCCAACTGGAAGTATCAGACGAACTTGGAATTGCCCAGAGTGTCATCTCCAGGCTTTGGCAACGATTCCAAGATGATGGTAATGTGAGTAGACGTTACAGCACAGGTCGCCCCAGAGTTACAACGCCGAATGAGGACTGGTATGTGGCAGTTACTGCCAAAAAAAACAGGCGGAGCACAGCATCAGACCTGTCTCGTCAGCTCTCTTCAGCTACTGGTACGACAATTTTAAGGGAGACCGTTTACAGAGGCTTAGGGCAGATTGGTCTATATGCTCGTAGACCTGTCAGATGCGTTCCACTTACTGCAACTCACCGCCTGCGGTTAGCGTGGAGTAGAGAGCATGCATTGTGGACACCGCAACAGTGGGCTTGTGTGATGTTTTCCGACGAGTCCAGGTTTAGCTTGCAGTCTGATTCTCGCCGAACTTTCATATGGAGAGCTCCAGGTGCCTGTTACCACCAAGAAAACATCATTGAACGACACCGTTACGGTGGTGAAGGAGTGCTTGTTTGGGGTGGAATCATTCTGGGTTCCAGAACTGACCTGCATGTTCAAATTGGAACCATGACAAGCCAAATCTATCGGAACGTCATTCTGGAACAACATGTACGTTTGTTTCGGGGCGCCATGGGCGCACAATTTGTGTTTATGGATGACAACTCCCGTCCTCACTGTGCAAACATCGTAAGTGAATGCCTTCAATCAGAGGATATCACCCGTATGGACTGGCCAGCATTCTCAATGGACTTGAATCCAGTAGAGCACGTGTGGGACATGCTTGGCCGATGAGTTGCAGCCCGTCAGCCTCCTCCTACATGTCTACCAGAACTTCGGAGAGCATTGCTTTTTGAGTGGTGTAATATCCCCCAAGATCAGATCGATAATTTGATACTCAGCATGCCTAGGCGTTGTACGGACTGTATTGCATCGTCTGGGAGACATACAATGTATTAACAATCATACCAACCATGTAATATTGTTTTTTTGTAAATAGGTTTTTTTTTGTAATTTGCTCCAGGGAGAAAATATCGCTAATTTTTTTAATAATATCAAATATATAGCATCTTTTTTTGCTCTTTACCTTTTGTTTAATAAATAAGCTTTACAAATAAGTCAAATTTGTTTTGCTTCTAACTCTTCCTTTGCCTGATTTTGCATTATCCTTAATTTATGGACATGAGTGTAGAAACAGTGTAAAAGTGAACTGAACATAGGTTTCTATGTGGAAATCATGTTTCCTTAGTAATTATGTGTATGGAAGATCTCGTAAATATGATGCTCATGTGAAAGCTTAGCTTTGAAAATAGTGCATGTCTCAATCTAGTGAGGGAATTGTAATTTACTGTGATTGTGAATTACCTAATTAAGAAATAGCTATAGATATTGGTGGATATCTGACTTGTATAGTTTTTATCAGGAGAGATAGAGAGACTTGCAGGTGTGCAGTGACCTGAGAAAAATTAACCCTAAGTGGACATGAATGATGCAACTCAGTAATAAATATATAATTCTGAGAAAAGAGTGAAATGGGGAGATTATCTTTTACTTAAACTTTAATTTTGATAAGTGATAATAACGGACAATAAGATAATAAGCTAGATTAAATCAGAAAGTTAAAAATGAGGAAGTTTGCTGTGACAGCTACTTAATGTTTATTGAAATAATTTTTTCCTTTCTTTCCTGCTATATGAGCAGAAGGATGAAAGAAATCCAAATCAGAACTGTTCCTGGTGGGTATGCAGGGAATGACTGCACACAGGTGATAAAATTTATGGGCTTCAAATTCACTTGGTATCCTGTAAAGTGGAAGTTACTTGTGAAAGGAGAAATGTATTAGGAAACGATTTTTTTTCCAAAAAGCAGTAAAAAAGGCCTTTTTTTGTCGAGAGGGCAGCATAAATTATTAAGTTATATAGGAGTGCACAAAAAAAGTTGCACACATGCTTGACCCCCTAGTCTGCCATCAATCATTTTGAATTATTTCTTCAACTCATGTTGTATGGTTTCTGTTGTTGAAGAACAGGGATGGACACTAGCTGCCGTATGATTTTCGAAAACTTCTCTGCAAGACTGAAAAGGGAAACACCATTTCACTACATGTTATCTTCCCATTGCTTTTTCACCCTAAACTTCCATGACCTGACTGTGAATTTCAGATGTGGACACATTCTTTGCTCAAATGAAATGAATTACGGCTTCCACTTCCAAGTTAGACTACTTTCCTAAATGTTTTGCCATTTCAGTTGCTCTAACATGTCTGCAAACTTAACACTACCTATCTACACAACTGCTGAAAGACAACTGGTGCCATCTGTCTCCACTCTGGGGGAAAGTGTTCCTTCATTAGTAATTATTTTTCAAATGCTGCTGCTCGTAACCTCTTTTTGGATTCACCTACACACACACACACACACACTCTCATATACAGAGTGGTTATAATTAAAGTGACCCTATTCAGACCGCTGTAGAACCTGTTCTACATATTGGATTTTGATGAAACTTGGTACAGTCAAAAGTCTTTAATCCGGACTCGTCGGGACTTCGGCGATTCCGGATTATCAATTTTTTCGGATTATAGATCATCAGTTTAAATCTGGTAAGATGGCATGCAGAAATTATAAAATTAAAAATATGAAACCGTAATTTATAAAATAATGAGCAATTATGATCTAAAGGGTATCAAAATTTACAAAAAAGAAGCTTAATATTTATTTGTTTACTTTATTAAACATTTCTTTCAACGCGCGCATGCGTAAAGCATACCTTATACGCATAGCCGAAATTAGAAAATTGCAACCAGAAAACTATTTGATTTGTATTCGTGATATTTATAATGACGAGGAATTTGATTTAAATCATATCATAGACGGAGTACATCGAGATTAAATACTACATTTAGTAAGGAATTATAAGCCGAATAAAATAAAAACATCTGCCCTGAAGATAACGATAGTGCTGACAGATCAACTTCCAGTTCATTTCGCGCCGCGACGTCCGCCCCGCGCAGAGCAATGTGCCCCGCGCAGAGCAGTGTGAAATTGATAAACAGATTTCGGAATGGTTAGATAAACAAAGGATATACCTTTATCCATTTTTTGTAGCAATTCGTTTTTTGTTTGATGGACATCGAAACATACTTTCGTTTTCTAGATCCTTTGGGAGCTCCAGCATTTGACATAAACGAAAGTTCAAGCTTACTTTTATAAAAATTGCTCTTACAGTCTACAAAAAATAATAAGCCGGATCCAATTCGAAGATTAAGGAACGACGCAATCATCAACATTAACTGAAATAGATAATTAGATAATGGTAGCTTACACCGTCCGTTATACATTAAATGCGCACGCGAAAACGTATTCTGCGTTTGCGCAGACGTATATGCGCAGTCGTAAATGTCTTGCGCGCACGCGTAAAACGCCTATGAGCA